TGGATATGTGAATTCTATCCCAATAAAGCTTTTTTTTTTTCTGGTTTTTTTTTTTTTTTTTTTGTAAAGGAAAGTGTTGGAAGAAGCTTTCAAAACTTAAAACAGAGAATAAAATAGTTATATATATATTAATAACATTCAAGGAAAAATATAAGTAATAGTGTGGAAGATGATTTTTCTATTACCTATGTATACATTAAAGCACATATGTGTGTCTACACACACACACACACACACACACACACGAGTGAGGTGGGAAGGGAGGAGGGAGAAGGAACAAACAGTGACGATATTCCTGGGTTATTATGCAAGTTTTCTTCTCTGTTTTTGGATATTCCAAGGTCTTCTAAAGTCTATTAGAATTATTCTATGTCTGCCCAGCACTCCTTTGAAGATTATATTTGAGAACTAGAAGCTTTGACAGTATAATCACCCATCATCTCCTTTCAATGCCACAAAGGACAAATTCCAGCAAATGCTGAATATATGAGGTTCTATAATGCTTCTAGAAAGCACTGGTATTTTATTTATTTCAACATGCCTTAGACTCTTAGGCTCAAGGTAGTTGAAATGTTTCCTGATTACATAAACTTAATTTAAATATTCAGTTTTTTTTTTTTTTTTTTTTTTTTTTATTTATGATAGGCACACAGTGAGAGAGAGAGAGGCAGAGACACAGGCAGAGGGAGAAGCAGGCTCCATACACCGGGAGCCCGACGTGGGATTCGATCCCGGGTCTCCAGGATCGTGCCCTGGGCCAAAGGCAGGCGCCAAACCGCTGCGCCACCCAGGGATCCCTAAATATTCAGTTTTGATGTTCCTGGGTAAGAGGTTGTATGCATATGTTTGCGTAAATGGTTTATTCAAAATGGTGATATTATATCAAAAGAAAATGTCCAGAAATGCCACCTCTTATTTTCCACTTACCCAGCACTTTCTGATCCCGAATATATTTGAATATATTTACCTAATATGATATTCCCAAATGTTACTTAGTATACCAAGAAAAAGGTAAGGAGATTTTTTTTTTCATTTATTATCATTACCATCCCCACCTTTATCATCACAACCACCACCACCCATGACTTCATATTGCCAAAGTGATTTTCAGAATGGGTGTATAACCCAAGGTCACAGAGGAAATGCAACTGGACTTCCTAAATCCTAGAAATTCATACTCTAACTGGAAAGAAGAAATAATAAGCACCTAGACAACACATACATACATAACACTTAAATATTCATACAGAATCCCAGAAGTGTTAATTCAGCTATTCAACTTGATACTATTTGTGTAGCCATTTAAGAATGCACAGAAACCAATGTTCTAAAGGTACATTAACCTTTATCTGATAGTCCTTACTTAAACAATACACTGTGGACCAAATTTAGAATAAAACAGATGGTATATAGCTAACTGAACTTTTCATATTTTTTTCTCTTTTCTTTTAGGCACTAAACAGCACGGAATCATCTTGCTTCCTTCACATTTAATAAAAACCCGTAATTCTCTTGCATCTTTTTTCTAGCTTATCATCATTACAAGAACGAAAACCCACGTGGATCATTAAACTAAAATTTACAATAGTTTCACCCGTATCATGGTTTCAAACAATATTCCACAAAAATAGACTAGTATGTTCAAAGTAACAATTTTATTTTTATTAAAACATTAACATCAAAAGCTATCTATCGTTAAAATTATAGCCCAAAGGAAATATGAATCTTGTGAGATGAGTCGAAAATCTTAAAGTGCATGTAGGTTTCAAAAGTAAGTTCTAGAAAGGATATTGGCAGCAGCTACTTTTTAACCAAAATCTAGCAGGAGTCAAGTACTTCCAGTCCCTTAAAGCAGAGATCATCAGGCTGCAGGATAATGTTGATTCCTTCATTGTGTTTGAACTAGGCAGTGGACCAATGATACCTGATCTTGTTTCAGACAACTGGTATGCAGTTAATTATAAATTTAAAAAAAAATTAGAGAAGTCCTGAAAGCTACCTTTATTTCTAGAAAAATCTCTATTGCCATTGGGTAGTCTATATACTGAAATTTAAGTCATGTATTCAAGACACATTCAATCATAAAGGATATTAAAGAATAGGTTTCAAAAAAAAAAAAAAAAGAATAGGTTTCACAGGAGCTCCTAAAGTGAATTAATCATAAATGAATAAAGTTAGGTTGCAATCTCAGGCTAGTTTATCTCAAAGCATGTTTATCATGGTGATGTCTTGGTGGGTGAGGATAAATCATTCTTATTTCAATATTTATTGTCTATTTCTCTATAGGAGCATCACTTCAATATAAATAAAACAAAACAAAACCTTATCTCTGACTCTTTTCAAGGTCCTTTGCCAAGTCTGATAGGGAAAGCAGAAATGAAAAAGTGAGCAACATTTTTCTCAAGTTGCCTATGGCTTTGAGATTATTCAAACCTGCATTCAAGAGAGAGATTACATAAAGGCCATCAAGAAGTAGGAAGACCTCTGAGGTTAGAGGAAAGTGAGAAATTTACAAAAGTGACTTCAAAAAAAGAGAGGAGATCTGAGCTGAGCCCTAAAAAACAAACAGGATTTCGACAAGGTATTTGGGAGAGGTACTTAAGGTAGAAAGCACATGAGCAAACCGAGAATGAAAATCCTAAAATCCTACTGTATGTTAACTACTCTGGAATTAAAATTAAAAAAAAAATGAAAATCTTAATCAGAAAAGAAGTTAGCTTTATTACAATGTTTTTCAAACTTCAAGGACATGATCCATTACAATATTTATCAAAAAGGATGCAACTGACCTTTGACATGAGAATTTTTCCCCATCTACAACAAGATGGTTAACAGTATCCCTGGTCTCCAGCTACTAAACACTAGAAACACGTCCCCTTTATTCTTTTAGTTTTGGAGAAAACCCAGAATTCCCTCTTAGGTTTTCAAATACCCCTGGTGGTGAGTAAGCCTTCCCTATATGCGACCACTGAGTCAGGAAATCTATGAAGTTCATTTACCAATAGAAGGTAATAGAATGGAAAGGGAAGGAAGGAAGGAAGGAAGGAAGGAAGGAAGGAAGGAAGGAAGGAAGGAAGGAAGGAAGGAAGGAAGGAAGGAAGGAAGGAAGGAGGAAGGAAGGAAAAGGAAGGGTTACCAAGTAATAAAGGAATAAAGTCATAACTGACTGTTGACCTGTTTAATTTTAGAGATGACAGGGTTTTGATTAAGGACACAATCTCAGTGATTAGCAAGTTTCATATTTTATCTGCATATCCACTGGAAAGAAGTTTAAAAGTCACACACCCGACTTCATGAAAATTAAGCATCAGAGAACTTAAATAACTTATCAAATTAAAGGATGGCTATTAAAACTAAGATGAGCTATTACAGATTTTTGAGAAGGAATAGCTTAATTGCATATATCCAGAAGAATTTTACTAATTCATAAAAATATATTTCCTTAAACAATTAGACAAATAGTAAATATTTTCTTACCCTTCTCCATTAGTTAACATTTAAAGAATGACAATCCCTTCAGAGAACTTAAATCAATGGTACCTCCATAGCTTTTTCTTACAGGGTTTAAACATTTTGTTTATCTTTAAGTTTTATATGGAGGGATGCCTGGGTAGCTTGGTGGTTGAGCATCTGCCTTTGGCTCGGGGCGTGGTCCTGGGGTCCCAGGATTGAGTCCCACATGGAGTTCCCCTCTGCCTGTGTCTCTGCCTCTCTCTCATGGATAAATAAAAAAAAAAAAGTTTTATGTGTAGTACTGGCATACACTTCATCCCACATCCCTTAAAAATGACCTAAGTCTGCCTTAAAATATGTCTTGTACAATCGCAGACCAAATACAAGGCTGGTGTAGAAGTATTGCCTAGCTCCCTTCAGCAGCTGCCATCTCTCTCATATTCATAGCCATAAGACCACTGGTGCTGTAGACTGGATCTTAATACATTCTTCTAGCCCCTTCAATTTTTGTCTCTCCTCAGAACTCAACTTTTCCCTTGACTTTTGAGTCTGAACATTCTTCTTATTTCTTTATCTCCCCCAGACTCAGACAGGAAGCTCCTTCTTTTGTCCTGACACCAGACAGACCACATGCCTGGGTTAATGGGTGGGTATCTGGCACGCAAGAGTAATTATGACACTGTAGTTCTGCCCTCTGCACACTTACAGTCTCTGATAAAACCTGAATAAATTGAAATGAATAAAAGAATAATTATGCACATACACTAATGCCTTTGAAAGCAGTGTAGCTTTCTGTAGAGTTTGAAACCAGAGGTTGAAAGCCGAAAACAGTCCACAAACACGTTAAAGCTGTCCAGTCCAGTGTATATTTTTAATGTAAATGAATTTAAATTCGTTCATTATACTGGGTAACTTCATAAATCTATGTTATTACACTTTTGAATTTGTAATCCTAGCTGAGTACTGAAGAGCATGGACTTTGATGTCAGACAGACTGATTCAAGACTGTGCTCTGCAAGTAACTTTCTAGGTATAGGATGGGATGCTACAAAAACTCTATCATAGGGTTACTGTGAGCATTCCCATGGATGATTCATGTAAAGTACCTAGCACACACTCTAGCGCACAGTTATTATTAAATATTAGTTCTTATCATTCTTTAGTAAATGGAACTCCTGCTGCTAAAAAAAATCATGTTAGAGCAGAGTATGTGAATAAAACACTTTGCCTAAAAGCAGTACCACCTGGACATAATTTCATGAACATAATTTTATGTAGACTGCTTTAACAGAAACTGACATTAGAGAAGTGAATTTTAGCAGATGACAGAACTATAATAAGATTTCCTTGGATTGGTTTTTAAATGTGCTACGTTGCACTCAACCGATTCTGCCCATTATTTCCAAAGCAATGTAGTTTCCAGCCATGTGTTCCATATATCAGTTTTTCAGGTATGTAAACTCCACGAGCTAAGTGTTTAAAAGTTAAAAATAAGACACAGAATCCAAGGAAGAGATGACTACTATGAAAGAAAAAATCAGGCTTACCTTGAGTTATATAAAAATGAAATGTTTCCTAGGTCCTCTTAGCTTTCACATTATTTGTTGAAAGAAGAACTCAAAACTTACAACCTCATTTTATCCAAGAGAAACATGCAGGCTAATGTGTGTTTTTTTTGTTTGTTGTTTGGTATATATTACCTGAAAAATAATAGAGATTAATAATGCATTGGCAAGGTTAAATAAAAAAGGGAAACTTTACCTTGTAAAATCAAAACATGTTCTGTAAACTGAGAAGTGGATTAGAATGTTCAAAGTGCTTGGGGACCAAGCATTCTGTAAAGTCTGATTTATACCACAGGCATCATAATGCCTACCTACTTCAGAATGACAAATAGTACCAAGCTGAAGTCGCAAACAGCAGCCCCAGAGCGTTAACAGCAAATGTCTTCCATCTTAATAGCTGAGTCTGTGCTATTCTGTACACTTAAAATTCTGAGCATTTAACACTTCTTGTTGCATCTAAATCCAGATACAAAAACCTTCAAATCAAACTATTTACCTCAACTGAAATCTGCCTTGAATAATTCATAAGAAGGAAGAAAGATGGCAGTGAAGAAAGCCAAAGAGAGTTTTAATGAACTCTAGAGTTTCAAAAATAATGGCATAGAAGTTATTACAGCTTTTTCCCCTCCCCTGTAAAACAGACTATCGGTCAGTCTAATACCAAATACTCCCAGAAAACAGAAGGAGCAATAAAGGGTTCAGCTTTCTGCTTGTCTGCAATTGATAGAGTAACAGCACCACACAGATTATTACCAGGAGAGGCTCTCTTGGAATGTGTGACAGTCAAGGAAGCATCTAAAGTATTCACATTCAAATATTTTACTTTTATGTTGTTTCTTAAAATTCCAGTGGTATCTGGAGTCTCCATTAAAAAGAAAGTATGAAAATCAGTAAATGTAGTGGCTCTGGCCTAGGCTACACCAGCACCTGCTTTTATGTGGCTTTGCCACCCTTGAAGACTTATTTGACTTGATGGGTAGAATTTGCAGCTATCCTACCTATGTTTCCCTGGAAATAATAAAAAGGTTTCACATTCTGCTCTAATAAATAAGCATCTCTTCAATGATTCATCTGGTGAATGAACCTAGGATTCTTAATAATTTTTTTTTTAAAGGTAGCCATTGAAGGGTTACTGCTATGCAGGTTTTCATTAGTCTCCTATTGCTGCTATGTAACAAATCATCACAAACTGGGTAACTTAAAACAACACACATTTAGGGGCGCCTAGTGGCTCATTAAGCACCTGCCTTTGGCTCAGGTCATGATCTCAGGGTCCTAGGATTGAGTCCCATGTCAAGCTTCTTGCTCAGTGGGGAGTCTGCTTCTCTCTCTGCCCCAACCCCTGTTCCTGTGCATGTGCTCTCGCTCTCTCTCTCTCAAATAAATAAAATCTTTTTAAATACTCACAAATTTATTCTCTACAATTCTGGGGGTCAGAAGCCCAAGTCAAGTCTTCTGGGGGCTAAAATTGAGGTACAGACAGTACTGCATTCCCTCCGGAGGCTCTGAGGACAATTCTGTTCCTTGCCTTTTACACCCTGGAGAGGCTGTCCACATTCCCTGGCTGGAGCCCCTTCCTCCATTTTCAAAGTATATCATTCCAACCTCTGCTTCTGTATCCCATCTTCTTCCACCTTTGATCTTCCTTCCCTCTCATAAGAACCCTGTGATTACACTGGGCCCAACTGGATAATCTGGGACTATCTGTCATTTCCAGATCCTTAATCATATCAGCAAAGTCCCTCTGCCATGCCAAGTAACCTATTCACAGGTGCTGGGGATTAGGAGGTAGACATCTTTGGGTGCTGTAAGGTAAATGCTTAAAGGAAATAAATTTACATATTAGATAATAGGCCTCATATGGCTTGATTATAGACAAAAACAGAAGACAATCTCAGTAATCCTAACAGGACCAATTTTTTTCTAAGTGATAGTTTTTAAACCATGTTTCATATAACTCTAAAAAGCTTACTGACAAACTTTAAAAATACGTATAATAAGTGTATGTAAGTTTCTGAGTTGCTACTCTGTTAAAAAAGAATAATGGATGCAAATCAAAACTTCAATGATATATCACCTTATAACAGTCAGACTTGGCTAGTATCAAAAAGATAAGAAGATGTGGAGAAAAAGGAACGCGTGTGATGGTAAGAATGTATAGTGGGACATTCACTGTAAAAAACAGTATGGAGGTTCTTCAAAAAGTTAAAAATAGAAATACCATATGATTCAGTAATTCCACAACTAAGTACTAAAAAAAAATGAAAACACTAATTCTAAAGACATATGCACCGCTATGTTTATTGCAGCATTATTTACAATAGCTAACATAAGGAAGCAACCTAAATGTCCACCCGCAGATAAATGGATAAAGAAAATGTGGCGTATAGACACAATGACATATCAGTCATAAAAAAGAATGAGACCTTGCCATTTGCAACAATATGGAAGTACCTAAAGAGTATTATGCTAAGTCAAGTAAGGCAGACACACACACAAAAACAAATATGATTTTCTGTATATGTGGAATCTAAAAAAATAAAATAAAACAGACAGACCTATAAATAAAGAGAACAAATAAGATGATGGCCAAAGGGGTGGTGAGTGGGGGGATGGGCAAAATGGATGAAGGGGAGTGGCAGATACAGATTTCCAGTAATGAAATCAGTAAGTGATGAGGATGAAAGGTCCAGCACAGGGAATAGCGTCAGTGGTACTCTAATAGCGTTGTGTGTTGACAGATGGAGCTACACTTGTGGTGAGCACAGCATAACATATAGTTGGCAAATCACTACATGTACACCTGAAACTAAGGTAACACTGAGGTTCAGTTATATTTTTTCAATAGAGAGAGAGAGAGAGAGAGAGAGAGAGAGAGAGGGAGAGAGAGAGAGAGAACTAGGCATTTCAAATATAGGCAATATCAAAATATCTATATCAAGGCAATTTTCATTCTTTGTGTGTATACTCGCATCTGCCTGTTATTTCCCCTTCTGGTCTGCAAGTGCTTGGATCCCCGGTTATGTTTGATGTTTATTGAATGGACTGAAAAATGAATGAGTGAATGAATGAAACTATTTCAGATGGTTATATGTTAAAAGGCAAAAATCAACTTTATTTTTCCAGACTTTTAAAGCAAAATAACATTGCTGGTTGAAATATTAAATGCAGACCTAAGATTCAATCAACTTCTAAGAACTAGGGATTACAGGTGCCTGGCTGGCTCAGTTGGTAGAGCATGAGATGCTTGATCTTGGGGTTGTAAGTTCAAGCCCCATGTTGGGTGTAGAGATTACTTAAAATCCTTAAAACACTTTTTTTCTAAGATCTATATAAATGCTTTTTTAGACAAGCTTCATTTCAAATACATGACAGTATTTTCTAAAAGAAGTCATCATACAAAATTGAATAATAAATTTCAGGTATAGTTTATCCACACAAAAGGAAAAAAGAATGAATGAATAATAAATAAATAAATAGAAAAATAAATAAATAAACAAACAAGGCATAGATAATCTATAATTACTGAATAGTTTTAAGTAGTTAGATTTTAACTAGCACAGTAATATTCATGAGTGTCCTTTTTGAAAATGATAGCTTACAAATGGTCTAATGGTGATTTTAATAATTATTTAACTCTAACTTACTTTCACAGTTTCATCAAAATAGGCATGAAATTGAAATTGAAAGCAAAGTACAGGAACATAGTTTCGGTACCTCATGATTCTTTATATATTTCATTTAACATGAGTCAGATGACTTAGCAATAAGATAATGAAGGTACTTAGAGCAAAAATTTCTACCTTTATCACTGCTCAATATTAATGCAAGTCTAAAACTGACCCCTAAAATTGAATTGCAGAGAAAGAGATTATTTCTTATTCTTTGAATAAAATGTGTCACCAAACAAAAGCATTTAACACCTTGCTCAGATTTTTTTCTTATAGTTATAAGTATACCATGTTTATCAATACGCTATCATGAAATCTTTACCAAATATGAATATGATGCTTAATTACTGAAGATAAATCTACAAATATTTTGACTTTGAATTTTAATGACTTAATAACAAAATATACTTTCTTTGATAATTCACCATTACATACAAAGGATTTCCACAAAAAGAAAAAAGTAGGTCTAAATACATTTTTCCCTGGGGCCCCTGGGTGGCTTGGTGGTTAAGTGCCTGCCTTTGGCTCAGGTCATGATCCCAGGGTCCTGAGAGCAAGCCTTGTTTCTGGCTCTCTGCTCAGCAGTGAGCCTGCTGTTCCCTCTGCTTTTGCGCTCTATCTCTCTGTCAAAATAAATAAATAAAATCTTTTTTAAAAAGAAAAGTTTGCCCAAGCCAAGGCAGATATCTCTCAACAGGGCTTCTGGTGAATAAATTTAAATTAAAAAATTATTTTAATTTAATAAATAAATTTATTTTAATTTAATAAATAAATTTATTTTAATTTAATTAATTTATTTTAAATTTAATTAATTAATTTTTCCCTAAGTGAACAATTCTTAGAAGTACACAAAGAAAATAGAAAGTACTACTTTTAAAAAAATGATAGCATTTTCTAATTATTCTCCTTAAGAAACATAATGAAACTAAGTTCATTTTTATTTTGGTTCACAGATTTAGCACAAAATATATTTTTAATGGAAAGATCAACATTATTCAATTCTGCTTGTTAAAGCAATACATGTTTCTGGCAAAGCATTCAGCATCATTGAAGAAAATAAAAATCATAACCCACAACCACTGTCCCCATTTAATGCATTCTTATCGATTGTTATCATAAGCTCACTTTTTCTATTGGAATACCAGTATTTATTTAATGACCATGCCCATGGAAATTAAGCTTTATGCATTCTTTGTTTCTGTCTTTGTTGTCATATCTTATTTCCAATGCAACCACTGCTGCATTTCCAACAAAAAGGTAGAATGAAAACATTGAAAAATATAATTTTCAGGGGATCCCTGGGTGGCTCAGCGATTTGGCGCCTGCCTTTGGCCCCAGGGTGCGATCCTGGAGTCCCGGGATTGAGTACCGCGTCAGGCTCCTGGCATGGAGTCTGCTTCTCCCTCTGCCTGTGTCTCTGCCTCTCTCTATATATATATGTCTATCGTGAATAAATAAATAAAA